CAAGCTCACCCACTGTCACATTGAGAGAGAAATTCTTGTTAAACAGAAACACGATCCTCTTCAATGTTCCCCCGTAAGAACACAAAAATGTCATGCTTTTTCATTTTTCCAAAACTTCCCTTACAATATTTCGAATCCATCAAAAACTGATGCCTTTACCTCCGCAATATTGTTTGATCCTGATGTCACAGAGGATGAAAATAAGATTTATTTCCGAATATGGTCTGACGAATCACATGTTGAAATGTTAAGGAACACCATTCATGATTATACAACGTGGGGACATGAATCAAAAAGCTTTTCTAATTCAAAATTGTAACGCTTACACACTGTCTACGAGTGACGGCAATCAGATACTCAATAAAGCCTTTTGTGCCCGCTGGGTGTTTTCCATGACTAACAACTGAAACGTTTTGCCAGTGGAAATTGTACCTCATATCACTGCGAATTGTAGGTACCAAAAACCCTAATTCTTTCCTGAGATTGGGCTAGTAGTATGTCACTATATCCGAACAATCAAACCTGAACTGTATTCATCGTTAAAAGCCACTCTGTTCTGTTCCATATTCCGAGTGAATAGCTGCAAATGGTTGGCCGTAACTTGATAAAGTGCACTTCCAAGAGTAATTGTTTTAGAACTATATCAGGTTCATCAGTAGAAGTGTAAATGACTGTTGCTCAACAGAACAGCTATGGAGTTTTGGGTACTAAACGTTTTATCAGTCACTGACAATATGGTAAACTGATGACCCAACCTTCATTGATGCTGAAACTGTTTGTATTTGAGCCTAGTCCTAAATTTATCAACTACAAATTTTACTCGAGTTGCGTCACTTTCATCCCAAAGGTTATCAGCGAGTCTTAGTTTTCGAAGCTCCGTCCATATACCAATCTCACAATGAACCTAATGGACCCAATATGCCCCTGAATCGTTTTCGATTCCCTCGGGATTATGAAATAATCAGCAATGTGCCCTGACAGTTAATCTGTGTGTTATTGTCTCTAAATTCACATAATCATCGCTCCCACATTCACATGTTTATTGTATTATTTCATAAGAGATCGGAAAACTTAAAAGCTTGAATATTCCCATAATAACATTGAGAAAACGAGTCGGTGAGCGAACAATCGTTTTCGGATATTCCTAGTCATGCTCTTACATATCATACAGTGAAAAAAAATTTATTACATAACGATAGCCATTGGCTCATTTAAAGGTCAATAAGCGGAG